AATGATGTATCATATCTGAAGGCTATGACACTTCAACTTTCTTTTTTTTAGAAATCGCCTATCGATTTGACAATGGCACAGTCCACTTTAACCAACATCGACATCAATGCAATGACGCTTTACAATTCAGGTATATTTTGTAACAAAGTTTTCGTGACTTTTAGAATTGTCCTATGAACCAGTCAATTGAAGTCGCGGTCTGTCTTCTAAGATGAAGAATGTCAATTTTTCAGTAAAACTGACAGAGGAATAGGATGTATTCTTGTGGAGGCAGTATCATTACGAATGGGAATAAGATATTTTACAGCACCTTTTCATTAAAATCTCCCGACATAAGGAAAAAAGATAGGGTGTTCGAAATTAGATGTACGGAAGTTCGGAATGACAAAATCAATCAAAAATAAAAAAACAGGGTGTTCATAATGAAAGTTGTACAGGACAAAAATCATTTTCGAATACCCAGCAACATGTGCGGAGTTCAGTATGATTTAGTGCGAAATATGTGCGTCCCTTACGAATCAATAATATGAGGAAACATTCTAAATTTCCACAACTTAGAATCTCACCATCGTAGAGATAGACACAAAAAATCTTAAATTAAACGAGATTAAGTAATACTACGCATGAAACCAACAATTTCGGCATGTTTTGATTATGTGAAAAAAATAATCTGTTAAGATATTGTTCTGTGTTTTTGTTGTGCAACATGTCGTGACATTCAAAACTGAAGGTCATAGTGTCTGTAGAAAAAATGTTTCGAGGATTTTTATTGCCCAAAAAGGCATAGTTAACCGAATAATAATCGAATTTGACGAAAAACGTTTTCCAAGCAGGGTACTCGTAGTTTCGTATACGTTGAATTTAAAGCATACCTAGATGTTCGAGAGAAAATAAGGAATTTCTAACTTCGAGTTTAACATTTGTTCAGTCATTTTATATAGCGTTTACAATTTAAGCGAATGTTTAGACTCTTCTCGATGTATATAATTGTTTATGGAAATATTCGCAAGTTTTAGATACGTTGGATTTTGGGCATTTTTAAAAACCAGTGACTAATTTAGCATATTGTTTTTATTCTATTAAAACATTATGCTATTGCTGACACATTGCTCTTTATCCCAGACTTTCAGTGTAGTGTATTGATAAAAGCACCAAATTCTCATGGATTTCAAAGTTGTTTTTATCGTTTATTTTTCTTTAAAGGATTTCCTAAGTTAACCTTATTAGTATTCTTCTAATCGTTTTATAGTATTTTCCGAGCCTGAATCGATGATATTTTTAATTTAGATTTTTCAACAATAGTTGCGAATCAATCGGATGTTCAACTTGAAGGGCTCAATGCATCGATCGGTGAAGCAGGTAAAAATAGTTCATTTATAAAGCTTTCAGCGCAATCCCTACGGGATTAAAATATGAGGCACGATATAGCTGTTAGTATTGGTTAAAGAGAGACAGAACTTTGTTAGAAGCGTGGGTGGGTGTGTAATGGAAGTTAAGAGATGATAGACACCCATACCTATCCACATCCCTCAGGAATCCATGCTTTTATGTATCTCTTAGATTAACAGATTCGGACATTACGCTCTCAAGCGAAACGTGTTAGTATTTCTGCACTTTGATAGATATTCACTTTCCAAATTCGAGTAGATAAAAAAGGTATGCATAACTTTTTCAAGGTTTCAAGATACTCTATTCAGATACCAGAGTAGACAGTTGAAGAATGAGATGTCATGAATTGTTAAGTGCGTAACAGAATAAATTCTACAAGAGAAGTAGGTTAATACAGAGCAAAGACTCTAACAATAGAAAATGCAAATGGATAGTGTCGATAATCTTATGCGTATATGTTTCTCAAACACATCAATAATGTTTTTATTACCTTTGTAGTACATTCATCAATGGTGAAACCATTCACGGATCATCTGATCCATGGTCTTACAACAACCAATATTGTGCAAGAAAAACTGAAAGTAACAGGCCAAGGAATTGTTATTATCGAAATGAACCAACCAATTCCATTCACATTAAAACTGACGCCTGCTAATTCAAACAGGTAATTTTTTGCACTAATTTATCGAAAATATTTTATTTTTTGTGTTTTTATTTGTTCGTTGGTTAAGAGATAGACAACTTTATCTTAGAATTTGACACAATGACTTTTGAACAAGGTTCAATGCTATGAGTTCTGTTAATCCAATGAAAAATCTGACGATAAGACTATGCTATATCCTTTACTCCCCTTTCTAGGCTAACATGTGATGTACTTGTTTGAAAGTCGAATAGCATATATTTCGAATCAAACAAATCTTTCTCTAAAATAGGCATTTGTTTAAAACTCAGTTACAATCTAGTGTGCATACGGCAAGATATTCCCGTGCCTTATGTGTTATTCAACAAAAACTTTCTTATTTTTCGCTCTCATTACAACAAAGTATGCTACTCACAGTATTGGTGCGTACTATTTAAACCAGAACTTCTGTAGTCAAAGCAATTCCTGCTGTTCGGAGTTCTTGCTAGTAGATACAAGTTTCCTAAACTCATTGAGATCGGAAAGGAGAGTATGTTGTATTTTGTGTGATGTTCATGTAATATCAATTCACTCTCACATAATAATTTTCGAATAATTAACGCGTTACTCACCACAATTCCGATATACCTGATAGATAAAAATTCTCATAATTTTTAAGAACTATTTGTTTTCTTTCTATTCTATGGTGCGGCATTATAGGTTTAACGATTATAAGTTGATATTATCTGCCAATGAAACAAGTGTGACCATCCATGACGGTTCAGACTCCATAGAATCGTCACACACAAACCATATGATATCACCTGTTGGGATACGAAATAAATACTGGCTTAGCATCGATAAAACGGCTATGGTTATTAAATGTGGATGGGGTGAACCACGACCGTTGTTGACTGCTGTTAAGCTGGATTCCAAGCAGCCACAACTACAAAGTTTACAAAATATCTATCTAGGGTACACTGGTAATGGTGCCGACCGAACACCAGTTGACGAACGTTCCAATCAGAATACCATTACTGATATTCAACAACTCATTAAAGAGAAACATCTGACAATCCGTGTGATAAAATCACTGGTCCCCAGTAAGGAACGATCGCTCCGGCTCTTGCCACTGGGCGTCGAATTTTGTCATGAACACGAAATACCAAGAGATATATCATGGGAAGTGGCTGAACTCTACAACAGTATTGCGTATTATAAAGCAATGATTGATCGTGCCTGCGAGCAGTTTCCACAGTTTATCGAAACTATTCGACGAAGCATTTCACATCCAAACGGTGCTTGCGGAAAAACTTTAGATAAAAAAGCCAAGTTAAGTTCATTTGGTCTCCCCGGCACATATTTACGAATCACATTCGGCGAACACTACGTAAGTACCAACAATATTTACATTGCCAAATCATAAATTTCTTACTGAGAGGCGATTAGTCAGCGTCAAGATATATCATTGTTTTATTGACTACATTTCAATCTCTTGTATCAGTTGCTATCAAATCTCCCTTATATTTATTTTTATTAAAAAAATAAATGTGTTCAATAGACGATAATTAAAGTTATTAGAGCAAGTAGTATTTCACACTAGTGCTCGAACTAGGTCGCCCTGTTCGGCTCGACCATTTTATCTTTTATTTATACTTTTCATTACCTTTTTTGCTTCCTGTAGATGATAGAAATTATCAGAAAAGTTCTTTATAGGAAAGCTATATAAACTTCAGCGGTGATAATGTCACGAACACTATTATTTTTTTGAAGTGATTGTATTTTTCTCTCACACGCAGTGCTATATAGTACGCCAACTGCATGAATTAGTTAATAGTGTAATCGATAGTAGAAATATATCGAACATAAACAATTGTTAAGAGTAAAAACAGTTTACAAGACGTTATCTAACTTTTAAATTTTATTGACAAGTGAATCGATCAGAAGTATGGTGCCGTTTTGAAATAAAACAAATCCATGAGCTCTGCATCATTTTTGAGAGAGAAAGCATTTTCTCGAGTTCTTCTATCTAGTGAGATGCCACGCAGTTAGAATTATCTATGTTTAGAAAGAAAAAAGGTTTGATATCAAGAGTTTGAAGATATAGTAAGTTTAATTATACATAAAGCTTAATTATTAGTAGACGATGAGCTTAATTTATAAACGTTATATAACAATTTTTATCTGTACACATACTATTCTCGATTGTATGGTACCTCATTTAGCTAATAGTTGGAAGAATACTTTCACCGAAGAGTATGATACACTTCATATGGACTTCTCTTCAATGTGAGGTGTAGGTGTGAGTAATATACTTGCCCCTAAAACTCACCCTCAAGATGCTAACAGATCTCAAAAGACTACTCTACCAATGTATCTACATGTTAGAACGAATCGCAGAAAACCTAGCTTCTTTACTTTGTTTGTTCAAGTTTTAATAAAAATACCCTGTTGTTAATTATACGGCAGGGTTTCTTTTCTTACATAAAAATAGATAAAATCAAAGTTAGAGATGTTTAAAGTGCTTTGAATAACCTTCTTTTAGAATTTCATTGAGAAAGAATGCCAATCTGACTAATATTAGTATTTAACACTGAAATAGATCTTTCATATTGATTTCACGACAAAAAACTGACAACAGACAGATATTCATTCTTGAAAAGTTAAGACTAGGAGTGACCAAATACAAAGATGACTTCTTCCCTAATGAATGAATGCCGAGAGAGAGCGTGATGACTCTAAGATTTGAAAACTATTGGATACTATGTGTATTTATATAGGGTAATTCACCGGGTCATCGATTTGTCCTAGAAATCTGGCCGAAAGGTCACTTTAGTCCTATTCATCAACATGCCGATGCACACGGTGTCATCATGGTTTATCACGGACATATTTTGATTAGTCTCTACGCTGCACTTGATCCTGCCAATCAGATTCCATTCAAACAGCAATTATTCGGTCCCAACGATATTACCTACCTGACCCGTGATCTGAACCAAACCCACAAGGTGGAAAATTTTTCTCATGACGTCTGTCTTACAATGCAATGTTACCAATATGAAGCTAATGATCAGGAACATTACGGAAATTTTCAGATTATTAAAAATCACGATTTAGAACAAACACATCCTGCCAATCCAAAATCGGACATGGATTTCAAGGATTTTCTGAATCAAATGCATGAAGAGTGGATTTCAACTTATGCAAAGGAAGTTCGACTGTAACCAGATGAGACTAAAGTTTCATTCATCTTTCTTTTCATTGTTTGCTTCCTCGTTTAATTTATTTGCTCACCTTCTCTCATCATTATTAATTTTACTTTTGCCACTGTCTTACTCTACTTCGCTTTGTTTGTTTGTTTGTTCGTAATTATATAATTATTATTATATCTTCATTGTGAAGTTCTTTTTGTTTTTTCAATAAATTATTGATTAATTACTAGTATTATTTCTCTTCAACTGAATACACCTGAAATTAGAAATAGTCGCTAAAAGTTGCGGTAGAAGCGAATTTTGAGAGCGTGCGTGTGGTGAGTGTAGGTGTGGAGTATGTCAATAACCACGCCTACACCCACGCCCAAATTCATATAATCTTTTTTGATGTTCTTATAAATATTTATCTAACTAGACGGCCGACGAATCGAGATTCGTCTGCGAAATACGTTGTAAACATTGATTTCAAAGTTTTCACAATTTTTTAGTTTTCAAGATTATTCTAGAATTGATTTTTTGATCAACTTTGAATCCGTACTTCGAGAAAGTAAGAAAGAAACTTGGCTTCGCATTACATTAAAAAAGAATGAGAACATATTAATTTTATATTGGCAGCACTTCAACATCTTCACGATTTTGCTTTTTATTTGTTGAAAAAAAATAACGTTCATCGAAGGATGATATTTTGGCAAAAAACTGATGAATATTATTATTTCGTTTCATGCTATAGTTAAATTTAATTTTCTTCTTTCTGTTATAATTCAAAGGTTGAACATCTATCTGTTTATGTTAATCGATATATATGTTTCTGAGAAAAAAATGCAGCAACCACTATGGAATAATATTTATTATCTCGGTTAATATAACGTATGTTTTTACTAACGTGCATTAGATTGTGTAAAGAAGTCAAATACCAAGTATCCTGTTAAGTTTTTCTCGAGAAATTTGAAAATATTGTTGTCGGTTTCAATTTCTTTTTGAACTATAGTTCTTTTCTGATAAAATTACTATTTGTTAGATGAAGTTTACACAACACTCGGTCGCATTTGCAAACGATAGTTTGTCATGTAACGCCGTTAAAATATTTTTTTGTGATTGACAAAAGAAAAGTCTACAATTTTTTTTTAAATTTGAGGCAACATTTCTTCGTCTTTTTTCTCAAACACATCAATAGTAATTATTTTTTTTATAATGTGTGACATTATAAAGAAAAAATATTCTTCTCTCACTTTTTGTTTTATTAGAATAAGGTGTGAGTTATGAAAGATAATATTTACGTTGTATTTCTATTCTTGTGCATATTTCCATCATTGATACAATGCCAATCTGGAACATTTATGCCACTAATGGGACTATTAAACACATTTCCTTATATAGAACATGGTTGGATGGTAAATGAACCTGACTGTATATCAGCCTGTATTCAACAAACATCGCCATTATGTCACGGTATTACATATGAAAGTTATCGTCAAGAATGTCGACTTATAACACAATTCTTTCCAAACTCAACTATTCCAAATCAATCTTTTCTGAATTGGCGAACATATATTCGAACAATTGACTCATGAATGACTTAAAAATTTTTCATGTATATTTATTTAAAAAATAAATAAATCTTCATAATCGTGATAATTATCTACAAAACATATCATTTTCATTTGATCCTAGATACTAAATCGTTTATGCGTAATGCAACAAATAAAGCTTAACAGAATCACGTTATACGTAAATAGATCAGACCAATGAGTTGTGAACTCTTTCTTCTCGAGAATCAGCGTATACAAAACATTTGCTATCAGTTAGACACTCGTTTGTTGATTTTTTCTTTCGTTCTTTAGATTACATATCTTACCATAAATAAAACAGAAAATAATATTTTTGTTCTAGTCATTTTATCAGTAAAGTCTATTTCACAACAAATATGTTGTGGTCTTATTTTTTACTGCTAACAACATTGAATATTTCTCTTCATGCCTTATTATATCCAGCTGAAAGTGAAACAAGACAAGTCAAATCATTGGATGGTCTCTGGCATTTTCGACTTGATGAACAAGGAGTTGGTGAGAATGAACGATGGTTTGCTCAACCAAATCTACCTGACCCTACTATTTTCATGCCTGTACCATCATCCTACAATGATGTTACACAAAATATTACTATTCATCGACATATTGGATGGGTATGGTATGCAAAAGATTTCTTTCTTCATAATACAGCACCTCGTTGGGTTCTTCGATTTCAAGCTGCTCACTATGAAAGTCGTGTGTGGGTAAATGGACATTCAGCTGTAAATCATTCTGGTGGACATCTACCATTTGAAGCTGATATTACTCCATTTATTTCAACTAATAAAGACTATTCAAAAGTACATATAGTCGTCGCTATTAATAATACACTTACACCAACAACATTACCACCTGGCTACTTACAAATTCACAGTCCCTCCTATCGTGAACTACAAACTCCATTTGATTTTTTTAATTATGCTGGCATTGATCGATCTGTTATACTTTATTCAACTTCAACTGCTTACATTCAAGATATTACTATTGATACACAACGTATCGATTATGATGCTCAACATATAGCCACATCTGCTGTTCTTGTCTATACTGTTACTATTGCTGGTGTTAATCCAATAAATACGATTCGAGTACTTATTGAACTATTAGATGCAAATGGAATGGTTGTTGCTAATAATACTGATTCTCATTCAAGTTTAGTTGTTACTAAACCAAATTTATGGGAACCTTGTGGAATGAATTATACTCATCCATGTACTGAACATAGTTATTTATATACTCTACAAGTCACACTCTACAATGATAGTCCACAAATGAATATACTGGATATTTATCGAATTCGTCATGTAGGTATTCGTACAATTAGATTAACTGATTCGAAATTTTTAGTGAATGAACGTCCATTTTATTTTCATGGAGCTAATGCACATGAAGATAGTGATATTCGAGGAAAAGGATTTGATCATGTAATTCTTGCTAAACATTTTAATTTATATGGATGGTTACATGGAAATTCATTTCGAACATCACATTATCCATATGCTGATGAATTTTATGAAATGGCTGATCGATTTGGTATAGCTATTATCGATGAAACACCAGCTGTTGGATTGAGTGCAACTCAATTTGTTTCACAAGCTACTTTAGATCATCACAAACAAGTAACTACTGAAATGATCAATCGTGATAGAAATCATCCATCTGTTCTTATGTGGTCTCTAGCAAATGAACCGGAATCTAATGTTCCATCAGCAAAAGATTATTTTAGTGCACTAGCTAATTTCACCAGACCTATAGCAGCTGGTCGTCCTATTACATATGTGATTTCTGCTGGTTATAATAGTGATCAAGGAATTCAATTCTTTGATATGATATGTATCAATCGTTATTTCGGTTGGTATAGTCAATCTGGACGTTTAGATCAAATTCCAAATTTAGTATCAGAAGAACTTACTAATTGGCGTCACAGATTCCCGAATAAACCAATTTTAATGAGTGAGTATGGAGCTGATACAGTAGTGGGTCTTCATAATGATCCATCATTTATGTTCACTGAAGAATATCAAAAAGATTTTTATACTGCCTATCATAGTATTTTTGATAATTTTTCATCACTTATTCATCCAGATACTGGTTTCTTTGTTGGTGAATTACCTTGGAATATGTTTGATTTTGCCACTGATCAAAGTATTACTCGTGTAGGTGGTCTAAATCGTAAAGGTCTTTTTACTCGACAACGTCAACCAAAAGCAGCTGCTTTTGTAATTAAAAGCCGTTATGAACACTTGGAATCAATTAATACTAATGATTTGTGTAATTCATTTGAATAATAATAAAAAAAACATTTTTTGTATGTGGATTTTATTTACCTATTTTTTTTTATTATTCAATATAATAGAAAGATTTCATATCTTAACTGATACATCAGATACCTTGATGAGGACATACAGAATCAGTAAATGTTTTCAATTAACGATGTTTTCTGTATAAATTTTACGTTATTGCAGCATATAATGACTCATGATTATATTATATCATAGTCTATAAAAAAATTGTATCAACAAAATAAAAAATACGTTAAGAAAAACATTTTCCAATACAATATTTATATATATAGAAAATAAAATTGATGTGAACGATAACTATATATTATTGCGTGATTTAACATAAAAATAATACAAAATGTTGCATGTACAATTCATGCATGACTAGTTGAAAAACAAACATGATATTATGTTAATAACACGTCAAAAACGACATTGACTGATGCATTACGAATAGTCAAGTATCCTTGTATACAACTAGTATTGTTCATAAAAACATCGAAAATGTGAAAAATTTTCTTGTTATACAGTTAGATTCAATGAGATAAAACTATATGAATATATTAAAAGGTTCGATTTGTCTCAAAGTCGTTTTTTTGTTATTACTTTCATCTTATTCTCATCCTATATTACACGATTACGCCCATACCTTCCAGATAGTATCAATTCTTATTGAATGACAACAAAATGATTAAAAAAAGTAAATTGCCGAGAGCAGTATGACATTGAATTGATTCTTCAAAAGCTAAATAGCGTGAAAAATGCACTGAAAATTTTCTAATAAATCAACCGATAAAAATATAATAACGACCAAAAAAAAAAGCTTCAATTTCAACATATATTTTTCTTTTATTTATTATATTTATGATACGTATCATTTCATTTTCTACTGTTTAATTATCTTGTCATTTAGAATTATATTTAAACCAACCAATAACAGTCTGACAAACACATACAGGTAGTTACAAGGCATTTTTCTTCTCGTTCTTCACATTAAAGAAATGAAGAAAAAATAAAAGTAAGTCACATTGTCTACTACTATTCTAAGTTTCGATGACTTATTTTAACGATGAAAGAATATCTCATCTTTCTTATATTTCTCAACTGCATTAATATCGTTTCAACAATAAATAATGCTGAAAAAATATATTCATTAGAAACATGTAATATACCAGAAGAATTCTCATTAATAACTCAAAGGGAATTTAGTCATCGTTATGGTGGTAAACAAACACTTACTACACCAGTTGTCTTTCGTCAACTACCAATCAATAAACAATTTCTTAATATGATGCAACTTGATTCAATACTTAAACGTTATGGAAATAAATATATAACTGTTACAACAGCAAATACATATTCATATCAAAAACAATATATTAAATTAAATGATTATATAAATTTACAACGACAATCATCAGCAAAAATTACAAAATGGGGAAAGTAAGATATGAAAGACATATATATTTCTTAATCATAATCTTCTTTGTTCATAGCGAAACACTCTATTGGTTTGGTGATGATTTATTAAATGATCAAAATTGGCTTAATCAAATTTTACGATATTATAAATCACCGGCATATATTGTTGATGATTTTATTCAACCATCATTAACATTTGGTATGGGTGGACAAGGTACTGGTGTTCCATTTCATTTTCATGGTCCTGGCTTTCAACAGATGATTTTTGGTAGAAAACGTTGGTATTTATCTGCTGAAAAACCATCATTTGATCCAAATGAAACAACAATACAATGGGCAACTGAAAAACGTTTTAAAACGAAACAACCATTTCTTTATGAATGTACATTAAATCCTGGTGATATGATCTTTTTTCCTAATTTATGGTGGCATGCAACATTAAATTTAGATTTTGCAATTTTTCTTTCAACATTTTTAAGTCTATAGTTATAAAAAATCAAAAATAGATGTTTATCAATTATTTAAATATAGGAAATTTTTTTCTATGTCGAAATGATAAAATATTTTAATATTTATACAGATGTTTCTGATTCTCACCAACAGTCTCTATTAGATAAGAGATTGAAGTAATCAACCGCACTCGGATGAATATGTATTTTCTCTATAGACAATTAATTATTATTTATGACTCACATGAGATATTTCTACGTGTAATAATTTATACCGCTTGTTGAATTACGATGTAAACATTCTTATTGTAAATTTTTTGAGTCATTGAATACTATTAAATCTATAATTTTGATTAAACCACACAGCAGACTATATATATAAAACTAATTTCTTTTACAAAAAAATGATGTATTTCGTACATCTGTTTTTTTTTAAAACATTAGTGTCATCAGCAAACATAAATTTTCTTTGCTTGACATTTTTTTTTTATCTCCTATCATTTTTTTATGTAATAAGTGTTTTAATAATCATTCCACGTCATCGTTAAATAATCAAGGGTCAAATTTTTCCTTTATATTTTTTTTTCAAGAGATAGTCTCTATGACAATAAATAAATCTTTATTTCTATTGGTTAATATAGCTAGCATTAGGCATATCATCGAGCCTTTATTATTATTATTTACGAAGTTTTTGTTTGTCGCTCTTTACTTTTTCTTGATTGATCGTTGATAATAATAATAATAATAATAACAACAACAACAAAAACAGCTGTTTATCTGACTTTTATTAGATTAATAACGAAAGTTGATTTCTTTTTTTACCCGACGCAAAAAATAAGAAGAAAAACATTTTCTTTACACTTTTTTTCTTTTTCGTCCTTCTAGATTTTTTTTATCGTGTACTTCTCTCATTTTTTTCTCTTCTCTCTCTCTCTCTCCCCTTTCTAACTTTCTCGCAAATAAAAAAAACACAGAAGAAAAATATAACAGCGAATGTTCACCTCGTCTGACACGAATTTACCCGATTTGGATTTTGAATTTATCGACGAATTACAACAAAATCAACCATTCAACGGAGGAATGTTTAAAGAATTATTATCAACATCATCACCAGCGTCAACTTATAGAATTGTCAAACCTATGTAAAAGAAAAACAAAAAATAAAAATTTTTTCTTACGAAACTTTGTTTCTCATTTGTTTAGTAATAATAATAAACGTGGTGGAGCAATTCAATTGAGAAGACAATTGGTAAATTTCTTCAAATTTTAAAAAAAATTTCCCAATATTTTTCTTTTTAAGACTGATGATAGCACAGGAAAACCACGTACACCACCCAATTCTACTGGAACTAGTTTGTCACCATTATCAACTTCATATATAAGTCGACTTTCATCAAATGATAATAGTCCGATCAGAACAGCAAATACAATGCGTATGTCATCACCAGCAACTAATAATATTAATAATAATGGACTTTCATCGTCAGCAAAACAAGTAGATGCAGTTACTTTATTACTGAAACAAACAATTGCACCTGCACAACTTATACAGGTAAAAAGGGTAGTGATATAATGAAAAGGGAAAAAAAAGAGAACGAAACATTTGTTGCGTATCTTTATATTTATTGAAGTGCGTAATGTTGACCTTAACTAGAAGAACAAATTTTAATCATATTCATTATACATATATCTTTAATTTAATATAATAACATTGATATATATTCTATTTAAATAGAGTGTTCAAACTCGTCTTGAAAATCCAACAAGATATCATCTTGAACAAATGTGTCGTAGACAAACTTTAGTAGCCGATGATTTATCTTCTACGCATACAAATATGGTAAGTCTTAAGACAAAAAAGGGATTTTTCATTTCCTCAATTATGATTTTTTTTCTTTCATTCAGTTACCACAATCACATCAACAACAACAAGAAGAATCATCACCAGATAGTGAATTAACTTCTGAAGTAAATTTTCCTATTATAAATTTTCTTCTAACAGAAATCTTTTCAGATGGATGATCAACTTAATGATGATACAACATGTGGAAGTATTGATAGTGCATCGCATGGAATAAGCATATCACATCGAGTGAAATAAAAAATTTTTTTATATTAATAATTTTAAAGAAAATCTTCAATTTATTTTTAGTTATCAACACCCATTACTGGTGATCATGCTGGTTCAGTATATCTTTCATCGTCAATATCAAAAGATTCCAATGATAGTAGTAATCATCATTCATCATCATGTCCAACAAATATTTTAAGTGCAAAAGCAAAAATTGGTTTACCATTGACTGATGATGAAATGCGTCTTGTTATACGTGATCGTCAAAAAAAAGATAATCATAATATGAGTAAGAGAGAATAATCACAATGAAATAAATAATCTATTCAATTTTTCAGTTGAACGTCGTCGTCGATTTAATATTAATGATCGTATTAAAGAACTTGGAACATTATTACCTAAAGGAACTGAATTGTAAGTTGACAAAAATCAAAATTAATCTTTTATCTGATTTATTGTTCTTTTTTTTTGTAGAGATCTTAAACAAAATAAAGGTACAATATTACGTGCATCAGTTGATTATATAAAAATTTTACGTCGTCAATATGATAATATATCATTAGTTGAAGAAAAATGTCAATTACTTAATGAACATAATTTAGCATTACAAGAACGAGTTCGAGTATGAAGAAATAAAGAAAAAAATTTAATTAATCTGAACATTTTCTTTTGTTTTATTTTAGGAATTAGAGAAAAAATGTTTAATAAATGGTATTCCAGTAAATTCACCAAGAAAAAGTTCATCAGCAATATCAGTAACACAATCAAATATGATTAAAGAAGAACCATCATCAGTATCATCATCATTTAATAATGCAACTAATCCTATAGTACCACCTTCAACACCCATATATGCTACTTTTGATTCATATCCAACGCTTGATTCATTATCAGTATTTCGTCTTGTCGATGATGATAGTAATGATAAAATAAGTGTTAGCGGAAATACAAATAATAATAATATTGATCCGTTATCTCCACTTGGTGGTCACGATCCATTTTTATCTTCCGTATCATTTGGTTATGATAATGAAATGGATATTGGAGGAATTTTTCCGTGAAATGAACGTATATGCTCAAAATCACATTTGCTTATATATGTATTTTTTTGTCTGTACAGATGTGCAATGGAATTTTCTTTTTCTTTTTCGTATATATATATATATATGTCTGTATGTATGTATGTATGTGTATGTGGATGATGATAATATTTGTCCCTTATTTTCTTTCGCCTATTGTTGCAAAACAGTGCTTGTAAATTTGGTGCTGCTGTAAAAATTATGACAAAATTTGATGAATTAAGGGGCCTTGTTTGATTTTTTTTTCTTGATATTTCTTTCGACAAAAACAAATACACATCTGTCCCTTCAACCGTGTGATATACACAATTTATCATTTCTATCTTTTGCACATATCTCATTCTTCCTTTCATACCGCCGAAACATGTATTCGTTTATTGTATTATTATTATTATCGAGTACTTGTATAGTGTATATTTTTCCGTTTTTTTCTTTTTCGTCTTCTTCTTCTTCTCCTGTTTTTTGTATATGAGGAACAGTCGCGTTATTCACTCGTTGTCATTGTCTATTTATCGCTATTATATTTTGTTTTCTTCCTATTCATCATCATACATATTTTATTGTGAAAAGGTATAAAACACACTGTGCATGATATTAGATACTTCAATAAAAATTTAATTAAGCAGAACATTATTTTTCATGCTCTTTTATGAATTATTATAATTAACAAAGAATATCCTATTCTTTATCTTCATTCTATAATATACTCTTAAAATACCAATGGTTAATTAATTCTTATTTTAGTTCATCACTTATAAATGTCAGTTATTGATGATATATAAAAGTAAAAGATATATGTATATATATAAATATACTTTAAAAACAATAAAACTATCATTAGTGAACTAATGATCAAATAGTTATTTATTCAACTGATTACTTAATGAACCATATCGTATGAATTATCAATCAAATTTATATACAATATTAGAACAGAAGGTATATTATCAGATTGTTTTTATGCTTGAATATTTTCTTTTGATCAAAATAATTCTATTATTCTTCATTCTCATGAGAATGTATAGTTGAATCTAATTTAACTAGTTCATGAGATAGAATGCCATTGTTTCGTTCATTAATCCTAATACAAATAGAAAGGAGAAAAAAAACGATACAAGGTTAAGGTAAGACAGATAAAACAATACAATTGTTGACATGTAACGAAACAAAATTCGTAGATATTCTTTGGTTGTGATCGAAGAATTTCACGTGTTAAATAGACTAGTAATTCTTCAAAGCCAAATGGTGTACGAAGTTGTGTATTCGATAATGGTGGCGGCATATTTAATCACATAGCAACCAAAACTATGTTTCATCATTATACTTAGAAGAGATCGAGATTGACATTATTGTACAAACAATGTATGTTCATTGTATGTTTTCACATTTTTTTGACTCTAAAAATGTTAAACTGTCTATGATTTCAATAGTTTGATAAGAAAAAAAGAACCTTGATTCGTACATCTGGTTGTATTAGATGGTTATACAATTAAAAAATATTTATTTTGATTAAGTTGTTTGACAATGTAACAAAAATATTCTTCAAATATAAAATAATCAATGGATTATATATTGATGCGACATGTAATACTCGCTAAGTCCGTAAATTTGAATACGTGTCAAGCTGATTTCTTCTCATCACCACATATTGGTTTTTATTTTAAAGAATCGAATCAAGTATCTTGCGCGAAAGAAAAACAATATTTTCAAAGTTATGAAGAATATTTAAAAGCATAACATAATTTATGAAGTTATTGATTTGCATTTGAAAGAAAAAGCATCCCTAGTATATTCTAATCATAAATACATAACCATTGATCAATAAAAAAACATAACTTCATATTAAACAATTCTGAAACTATAATAACTGACGTATATATAATACATCTTATTAATATTAAGTAAATCTTTCATAATTTCCAATTTATTCTTATTTTCAAATTTGACCGAAAAGAAAAACTATTTCACATACCACACAACAATAAATAAACTCACAAACGACAAAAAAAGAAGAAAAAGAGCACAGATTGAATTATATTTTTTTATACACTATATTCAAAAAAACAAAACTTTGAAGTTTACTATCATAAACAAGTCGTTAAAGCAACGAATCGAATTTTGTTGTTTACTTTTAAACAAATGTATTCGTTGGTGAACCTTTAACAGCTAACATTGAGGAATTTGTCATTTCATAAAATGGCTGCGCTGTTGCTGATGTCGTTGTTGTTGTCGTTTGTCTTATAAGTGGTTTTGGTTCAACATAATGTCCTAATTGAGCGAGATCAACAAAATGTCGATTAGAATTTGTTAAAGGTATTTGTTTTAAACGATGAGATTGATAGGATATCGATGAATCACTACAAGTTGATGAATCTTCTGTCGATACAGTACCAGTTGATGATAATAACGAGAGAATATCACGATTAGTTGTTGGATGAACACTTGGATAACGATGTATATCTAATGTGACTGAATGTTTTAAATGTCTAAAATAAGAAATATAGTTTTGTTTTTTTTTCAGAAAAACAAATTAAATAAAATTTTACTTGATTAAATTTGATACAGTTCGTTGTTGTGCACGTGAAACATTTTGTCCGTTAACTTTAACAATGTAATCACCTGGTTTAAGACCACATTGAGCTGCTGGACTATTTTCAGTTACTTTACCAACAAATGTTGGACTATCACCAACAACTGTAAAACCAAATGAATCATTTATACCACGCGATATAATAAACTAAATTAAAAAAATATATTTCTTATCAAAAAAAGAAAAATTCGAATAACATACTTGATGTTCTTCTAAATCGGCAATATCTCGATTAATAGCAGTTACATGTTTTTCTCCATGATCAGGCACTTGTTTATGTCGTAATTCTCCCACATCTTCTTGTAAAATATAAAACCAACCACGAATCTAAAATATATTATAAAGAATATTTTTTTCAAAAAATGGCTTTCTTTTATTACTCGTTGTTTTTTTAATGTATTTTTAATTCCAAATGATAAACAACCTTGTAATTGTGTATCATTTTTTTCTTGTTGATAATTATATATTGAAAAACATAAACGTTTATGTAAATCATCATTATTAATTTCAAATGTAAATTTTTCATTAAATACAGCTGAACCATTTAGATTAGGTACAGCACGTGTATTACATTCCAATGGTTTTCTATCAGGTATTAATGTCATTTTTATTAATATATTTGATGAACGTTGATTTACACCTTTAACTCGTATGACTAAAAAAGAAAATAATTATTTCAATAAGAAAATCAATTAAATAATATTACTTTTGACAGTTAAATGATTATCTGATGTAATAAGACTGAGTTGAATAATTCCTAAAAATAAAAAAGTCTTTTGTTTGGTTCTATCGAGAAAATTTTGATATTTACCTCGATTTAATTGTAATGGTGATTGTTCATTCATATTCGTTAATTTTCTTGTTGTCGCTACACGAGGTGTTTGAATAGGTTTATATGATGAATAACTTTGAGAACTTGAACTTGTAGTTGAATCCAAATTTGGATTAATTTTTTCTTTTGAATGTAGAGTTTTATTAATAAAACGTACGAAATTGGGTGAATCAAATAGACTACGTCGACGATTAAAATCACTTAATGGTGAACGATTCATTGATAATTGAAATTCTAAATTCATACAAAATATGTTCATATCAAATATTTAATCCGTATATATATAGAGAGATTTATTTCGCTGTTACTAATGAATACTTATTCATCATTACACTCACCATGTCAATTCGTCTATCGTATTGGATAAATGGCTGTGCACGTACACAGACACACGCTCGACCGTTGTTATTCGAATAATGATGATATATGTTGCTACTTTTCCTCTCTCTCTCTACATTTCTTTCTTTTTCGTTTTCACATTATGTTTATTATAGGAAAGAAAAAAAAAACGACGTTGAACTTGATGATCGGTCAACGAGAAAAAAAAACACACACACACATAGACTAACGATTGACGCCCAACGAAAAATAAAAAAAAAACTAAAGAATGTAACAGCTGGATCAATTATGCAAATGAATAAAATGGATTGTGTTTTTCTGTTATTGCTATTTCTAGGAAAATGTTTATGAGAATTCTAACGGATAAGTGTCAATAAATGACCAATTTCTCACGATTATTGTGTGAAATTAAATGATAATTAACAAGTTTTTGTTAATGAGAATATTGACTTGCAGTGATTGAGATTAATTGAAGTTAAATATGTGAAAGATATAGTAAGATAATTAGTGGCGGACATCAATGATCAAAGAATTATAATAACTGATACGAATCAAAAGAGATTGACATCGGTTTTTCTTATATAATATGCAATAGATATGTATGATTGAGAATTGTTTACTTCAAAGAATAAGACTATTCGAATTTCACTACCGATGACATAATTATATCTTGAGTATGTTAGTCAAGCATATAACTTTCCATTTCTGAAGTAACTACATTTCGTTGAATTCCTGTACGGAAAACTACCCATGCCATCAAAATCGGGGGAAAATCGATGATCTAATCGCGATTCAGCACCCAATTAATTGTGAGATTTATCGTGGTATATCGCAATAGGCCAAGATTTCGATAAAAAGTAGTCGATTAATCGTGATTTGGTCGACGATTATTTTTGGATGAAAATATAGTCATCATAAATGACAAAATTTTAATAAACTAGATAATTTAACATCAATTTATACTGCACTATCCATGCCACCAAAAATCTCGAAAAAATTGGCGATTTTATCGCGATAAAACCGCCAAAATTAAGGACTTTTTACCGATTTTTTTTCGAAAAGTCTTGATTCGTAATGATTCCGATAAAATAACCATTTTTTACTGGCAATATAATCGTCAATTTTTTTAAAAATCGCGATTCATCACCCAAAGCTATTTTAATATAACTATCATATCTTACAACATATCTTTGGATAATCTTTATCACTGATTATAGGATATAGTTCACACAAAAAAACACGTAAAGTAACGAAACGATTATAAGTTGAGAAGCAGAACAAATTCAATCGACAATCAATCAATTATGCCCCATGTCGAATGAATAATTAATGAAAATGAACAGCTGGTGTATATATATATAACATATGTAAACTTAAGAATATTTATACGTAGACAACGAATATTTTACTTATCATTGTTATGTGAATAACTAAATGATTTATTTGTCATTTAACAAAAAAAAATGCGAGTACAAGATCTGATCAGCAACCGGATTCGATGAAGAATGTACGGCAGAGAGAAATGAAACAAAAATAATTAACATTGGATGTAGTCGAATAAATTAGACAATAAATATAGAGAAAAATTTCAGTAACTGAATAAAAGATAAGATCTCGCAACAGAAATGAAAACAAAAAATAAGCGTAAATACAAAGGAAGTAAGGAAGAGAGGGAGAGAGAGGAAAAAAAACAATCAATGAGTCCTTTTCTTTTGTAAATGTTCAAAATTAATCAAAATTTAATGTCGTTTGTTGCGATGTTGGTGGTTGATTTTTCGATGATTTTTTGTTTGAAGTTGTCGGAGGTGGAGGTGGTGGACCATTGAATGGCGGAGCTTGTTTTTTGGAAGTATCAGCTGGTGTATTATCTTTCGGTAGTTCAACCTTTGGTTTAGGTTTGTTCAATATTGACAAGCATTCTCTTTCGAGTGCCTAAAAAAAAGGATTTTCTGTAAATAAATATCAATCCTGATATTGTATACGTTACTTCTTTTTCTTGTTTGATTTGTGCGCAAAGAATTGTTGGATCATCTTGCATTCTTAATGTATTCAAACGATTTGCTGTTTGATCATACCATTTTTGTTTTTCAAGTAAAATTTTATAAACTTTTTCAATATCATTTTTATCAATATGAGAATATTTATCATTAGTTTTATTTTGCCAAGTTTGTATAGCTTCATCAATACGTTGTAATGTTTTCATAAATTCTTGCATATGATAGTGACGATTGGTAGCTTCATAATATCGATTACGAATTGGTTCACCAAGATGCTAATGAATTAAAAAGGTAAATGAAAAGAAAAATTCGTTCGTCGTTTTTACTTTTAAATTTTTTAATCGTTCAATATAAACATTCTTGTCTTGATTTATACCATCATCATATAACCAATTTTCCGTTGTTCGTAAATCATTAAGTAATTTTTGTCGATTTCTATCATCAGAATATTTTTCATATTCACCTCCATCTAATTTTCCACGCATATCATAAACATATTCTTCAACAGCATTTTTCGCATCGGAACGTTCTTTTTCTTTTTTATCATGTAAAACCATTTCATTCTTTTAAAAATAGATATGAGTTTTTTTTTGTTAAAAATAAAAAATACATTCTTATTTACTTCTTGTTCAATTAATCGATCAAGTTCTTGTTTTGTTGCGCCTGATACACGAGATATAATTGGTAAATCAATTTCTTTTCTTTTCTTTTTTGTTGCACTTTTTTTTGATTCATCACCTTCATCATCTTTATCCTGTTGAGCTTCGTTAGTAGCTGTATTATTCTTGAAAGAAGAAAATTACATTCATATTATATCAAATAATAAACATAATCTTACGTCATCCATTGGTTCACTTGTAGCTGAAGTATTTAGATCTGGATTATTTTCTGTTCCTCCTTTTGTATCCATGGTATCGTCTTTTAGAAAATGTTTAGATCGAGAATGTTTTGTAGTTTTACATGATCCCTTACCAGTTGATTCTTGAGTTTGATCAACAAGTGCTGCCTGTGATATATCAAATATTCCATTACGATTAAGACGAACTTTAACTTTGATTTTTGATGGTGAACCATTAGCTTGAGCTTGTATTTGGTCAATTGTATATTGACCTAAAAAGACAAATTCACTCGGCTTAAATCTCTATGTTTTCATCAAACTTTCGAATCAATTTTAAGTTATATACTGATATCTAAGATCATGCATGGATAGAATTCTATGCTTTCATTTAACATACCAATACGTGATTCAGAAAATGGAATATCATTTGGATATGAATAACGTGATACAATTGTTAATGGTTCTTTTTTATAGAATGAAAGTATTTTTGATGATGGTATAGGATTCCAACGAGCAAATACTTCAACTTCACTGTCTTCATTAATTCCACCACGCCATGATAATGTAATAGGATATGGTTGACAATCTTCAATTTTAAATTCTTTTACTTTAAATGTTGGACTTAACATAGCACACATTAATGTACAACCACGTGCAACACTTTCATCCGAATTCATTGTTGTCATTGGAGTTTTACGAAAAACCTCTTGAACGATTTGTTTTACAGCAGGAATACGTGTTGAACCACCAACAATTTCAACGGATTCAATTTCTTCAGGAGTAATTTCTATAAAGAATAGAATCAATTGAATAATTCTTATCTATTCAAATTTTTATTCAATATAAAGTAACCTTATATGTGGGTGTGACTGAGAGTGTAGACTAAAAACATGCGATGTATTCATCGAAACTCACCATCATTAACATGTTTACACCCACATATATAACGGTGAAAGGAGGAGAACAACTCATTTTTTTTGACCTGATATTCTATCAACGAAAAATATAGGGTCTATTCGAGATCTAATTTGATTTCTATATCAAAGCAAAAATATCATATACAATTTAATGAATCTAATTGTTTCTATAAATATATTTCATTAAATAAACTTACTAGCTTCTTTAAGAAGATTTGTAAGTGTAGTTCGTATTCGATCAAATAATGGTTTAGCTAATTCTTCAAATTCAGCTCTTGACATTTTACCATTAACATCTTTTTCATCAATAAATGATTCAAGTGCGATTGGCATTGGTTGAACATTACTTGACATGGATTTTTTTGCTTTTTCACATTCAGCACGTAATCTTAATTTAGCTTTAACTGTACTATATGAATCAAGTTTAAAACGTTTTCGAAAATCATCACGCATTGCATCCATTATAACACGATCAAAATCACGTCCGCCCAATGATAAATCGAATGCAGTTGCAATCATCTTTTAAATAAAACGATATAATTAAATAGATTAACAAAAAAAATAACAATATACCTTTAATTTGCCTTTATTTAATGCAACTATAGATGCTTGTAATGCTGAATAACCCAAATCAACAAATGCAACAATACGAGGTTTTTCCGACTGTTCAGGTAGATCTCCTTTATAGATACCATAACAAAGTGCAACTAAATTAATAATTAAACATTGTTTAAAGTTATCAAGTAAACACAATCATTAGATTCGTACAAAAGAATATGATTTTTATCCTTGTGATGGTATACATTGTTGATCAATAATCAACGATTGCATGCTTTTTTTTATTTTATTAGAAAATAATTATTTGGAAAGCAAATGAAAACGTTTTTTTAATCTTAACATATGACATTGTCATCGAATTAGTAATGACTATTCATTTATAATCTCAATCTTTGCAGGTATTTTATGTCATTTTGTATATATCAGACAACGAGTACACATTATTATATCGAATAATATAGCTCATAATCATTGCATTAAAGGTAATGTTTATTTAATGAAGGATGATACAAAAAAAAAGAGAGAGAACCTTGGCGGTGCGAATAAAAAAGAAAAATGCGCAGACGATTGTCATTCATACTTGAACTGTATCTAATAAATATATTTTCGGTATTTTTAATGAATCCTATACAAAGGCGGACTTTTCTTTTTTCATCAGAAAAAATTCAAAGGATTGTTTACAATAAGATTACTATATTGACTATCAACAAAATCTTTACTATCCTATGATTAAATTGAATACATATTTTTCTTACCAGCTGTTGTTTCATTGAGTAATCGAAGGCAATTCCATCCAGCTATATATGCAGCATCAAGCATTGCTCGTCGTTCGGCATCAGTAAAAAAACAAGGCACCTTAACAAGTCAATCAAAGGATTAGTTTTTTGAAAAATATATATATAACTTACTCCAATAACACAATCAATAGCTTTAATTGCTGATTCAGCTTTAGTAATATGTTTTAATTTACCTAGCATAATAGCAGCTATTTGTTCAGGTGTAAAACGTTTACGTTCATTAAGATAATTTACCTAGAAAAAGAAAGAAAGGTTGTTTTTTTTTACAAAATTCCTATCTCAATATTTACTTCGATATTAACTGACGATCCTTTTCCTTCGACAATTGAATAAGTATTATATTCTTTTTCTTGTTGAACATATATATCTTGATATCGACGTCCTAATAATCGTTTAAAATTACAAATTGTATTTTTTGCATGTGTTATTTCCATGGCTTTTGATGCCTGACCAATTACACGAGTTGATTTATCGAATGAAACATAAGTTCTGTAGACAAGAAAAAGCTCGTTTTTTGTTGCAAAGACTAAAATAAATAAATAAAACTTACGGAGTAAGACGATCTGAATATTCATTTGCAATTATTTCAACACCACCAGCACGAGCAACACCGATATAGGAGGAAAAATTTCCCATATCAAGGCCAACCACCGCCTGATTGAACACATAAAATATTTATTTTTAAGAAAAATATTTTTATTGAACTTACCATATTTATTATGTCGAGATAAAAATACGTTGAATAAGAAAATCTATAATAGAGTTAATGAAGCTACTCAAGAAAAAGAAAACCAGGGAAATATGATTATATAAAGAATGAGTTATCGATTGACAGAACAGCAAGAAAAAGCAACGAGTAAGGTAGCGAAAAAGGAAGAAATTTCTCGACCATTCGAGAATAAGTATACAAATATGTATATCTATTTTGTATGATGTGGTATTATATGGATGATATTATATTTGATTTTACGATTTCGATTGGAATAGTCTGCCCTCTGCTGAAAAAATATCAGGTAAATTTTTACAAATAAAAGCGTATTTCAACAAACAATTCTAATCTAAAATGTATATTATAGTCAAAATGAAAAATCTATTTTTGGACTGAATAAAAATGATAAGATAAAGATAAATGTCTGCTAGTAAAACTTTGCTTGTAATACGATTATTTATTCTAAAATTTATTGAAATAATATTCTAAATTTGATGTTGACATATACATACATATGGGCATGATGAAGTAATATATCTATACATAGTAATCTAGAATTATATACATGTAGAATAACGAGATAAACAACTGTCTAGAAATAATGTTATCGCTTTGCTTCTTACGTTTTGTTTTGTTGGATATCAACAACAGCCAACTTGCTGAAATCTCGAATGACATTTTCTATTTGGAAAGAGAATTATTTGCTTTCGTGTATAGGTAAATAAAAATGCAAAATATGTCGTCATATACTTTACCTCGTATTTCTAGAATAGTAGTCTATCTATTACAATGTATATATGTCTTAACCTAGCACTATAATAAAGTGTCTTTTAATGTATAAAAGATGATGCTACAAGGTTGAAACTTCTTATTAATCATAACAAACTTATAAGACATTGTCTGTCATTTAGTTGATAACAGACAAATGATATTTGACTATATACTTCTTTTTTTCAATATTGACGAACATTATTTGAAGAAGAAGAAGAAAATCAATAGTAAAATTCTTTGAATGACAGATTTATTTCTATTATGTACATGTCATTTGAAGATCAAGATTTAGTATAACAAAAATTGTATTACTTGAGATATTAGAATTCTTCTATAATCTTTTAAATCGATTGTCAAAAAAAAATATAAAATGAATTATTTATTTATTTAAACAAAGATTAACAGAAGCTAATAAATCTTTTCGTTGATCAAATATTTCAGCCCTTTCAGTAGAATTCAATGTTTTTTTTAATAATGATGTTTGATCGGTTATGTAAACGCCAAAAAAGCATTCTTCTCAGGTGAAGAGTCTCAAGAAGTTCAGCAACATAATTCAACGATTTTAGTTTGTTGACATAGAAACCTCGACATATAATAATAAACTTATCTTGCCCTTCGATTTCACCATTTTTAAATGTTGATATAAAGTTAGTTCCTAATTTTGAATTATATTTTCGAACGTGATCTACTTGTGTTGGACCAATTGTAGATGTATCAATTCGAAGTAACATTGATTTATATAGAGAATTCTTTCATATTTCTGTTGACGAAAGATATGAAGAAGGAAGATAACTTGAAGTGATGATTGACAGCTATGGTAACGCATGTAAAGAGAATTGTATATTTCAATTATAATACCATAGAATGAGTTAATATCTTTATTGATGATCGAGGATGTTTTTAATTTTTATTTCATAAATGTAGATTCGTCAAAAATCTCTGTAAGAACAATTTTTTGTCTTAATCCTCTCACGGCTGGTGATTATTCAAAGCGTTATTGAGATTACTCTGAAGAGGGAGATTAATAAAAGAAGCAATTCAGGTAGATTAAAAGCTCATAGTTCGCACTTCACCAATATCATTCTACATATGGCAGTTTCAAGGAAAAGAACTCTCAACCAGATAAAAATCGACGATATTTTTTGTACAATTCTGAATCAAGATTAGATCTACCCTCAACGGGCGAAGAGAACTATATTTCAGTTACAAATGTCGAAAAAACTGCAGTTTGATACGATATAAATGTGGAATAAATAAGTATATCTTTCTCCTAATCAGTTTCGATGGATTTGAATTAAAAGAATCGCTTAAAATATTACTATTCTACGAATAAGTTGATGATAATACCAATTTTCGTAGAACGTTGAATTTAATAGTTACATTGAAACAGAAATGGATAGCGATATTTAGTATTTTAGTCCTACGTTATTTGAAAGATTACTGGAAAAGAAAACAACAGAGATGAAATACTGCAGTTTGAAAAACGTGCAGAGAGTCAACAAATTGATTTTTCCTAGTGTCTACGATTTATTGTATTGTTTAATAAGTGAAATTGTATAGAGAAAAAACAGTCTAATTATTCAATTAATGATTAAATTATTGTATTTATTGAAAACAAATTTGATTTAGTCTGAAATAATGAATATTTCATTTAACAAATCTTCAAAAGAGAATATTCGATAATAAATAAATCGCTTCTTTTATATATGTGATAACTAGTCATTATTTATATTTAATGTAAACTAAAAAAATAATATTAAACTTTGTATTACCCAGTTTCATTCATTGTTTTTATTAGAGCAAGACGAATGATTGATTGCATAGCCTGATTTTGTATATTAGAAAATGAATCGAATGACTGAATAGATCCATTTTGAATAGTTTCGTTATATGATCTATTAAATTCATTTAACATAATATCTCGTAGTAACCAACGAGCACTTGTCCATTGATCATCAGGCATTTCTATCCAAGTTGTTACACCACTACTCATTTGTGAATCTCCTGCTAAAGTTAATTGAAAACCTGATAATTCTAATTTAATTATTTCATCAAATGATTGAGTATTCATTTGATTTGGTTGATAACTTTTTTCTATAAAACTCATATCAAAATCCAATGGTGCTAAGAAAAACGGTGATGTTGAAGAAGGTAATTTAATAACTAAATTATTTGGATGAGCATTACAATGTATACCCAATTCATCTGTATAAGTTCCCCAACTTATCCGATGATAATGCATAAGACCAAGAATTGATCCACATTCAAAACCAAATCGTTTATAAAGTAAACATAAAAGATCACCCAATGATTGTTCTGTATATAAAGTATTGTTTATTATGTTAATATTATTTTTCCATAAAATTTTACAATAATTTTCATCAATATCTAAAGGTATTTCATCAGAAAAATGTGATGATAAATCAAGCCAATGTGAATTTTGATAATCAATCGGTTCGAGTATATTTGTTAATGATGCAAACCATGTCGATAAAGGTATAAATTGTTCATTATTTTGATCTGATTTAGTTAATCGTTCGGATGAAAATAATGAAATTAAATTCGATTGATTAATCGGATGTGATTTATCATTTGAAATAATTGAATAAAACAACTGTTCAATGCCATATAAAACATGATCAGATAAACGTTTATTACCTAATGTTTCCATTAGAATACAACAACGTACAATCCTTGACCATTGATGTAAATGAATATCTTGTATTATTGGAATATCAGAATTGATCTTATGACAATTTTCATTTTCTAATTTATATTCAAACCAACCGATAGAAATATTTGCACATTCAATTTTATGTTGTGATAATATATGTGAAATGTAATCTGTCATGATTAATTCACGATATGTTGTATGAAGAAAAGCACATCCACGAATCGTTGATCTTGTATTTGAAAGAGATTTAATTAAAAAACCATCGGTATTATCACCACAACCTTTTAATCGATACCATTTTGATGATTTAGATTTTATTAAAGCTGATCGAGTACCTGATATGATACCTTTCAAAGGACTAGCAAGTTTTGTTTTAATCAATGGATAACAAAACTCATCAGAGATAGTTCCTATATTATTCGTTGTATGTTGTATTTGAATGAAACTTGCTGGTATATCTGGAAGGATTAATTGATGATCCTCAGTTTCTATTGGAGATAATATTTTTGAATTTAGAGTACATTCATCTATAGGATTCTTATGACTTAGATTAACTGTACCATAATGATATGCGAAGTTTGTTTCGACAGACCCATAAAATAATAATTCATCATCTGATATTGTATTCATAACTATTGATGCTAATCGTAATTCATGTATTCTTTTATTTCAACTGACAAGCGTTCTAAGATTGATTCGATCAATAAGCTATTAAAAAATATAAGAATGTCTAAACAAAAAAACAAGGAATTTCAAGGTATTAACAAAGACTAGACTAACGGCCAATAGTCACATATTAACATAAAATATTTTCATGAATAGTTTTTACTCTTTCAACTAGTTGATAAACTATGTCATTTGAAAATTATCATAAAACTATATGCGTAAAAAAGAAAAGTTTGCATGTTGACACGTTTTCTATATTTTACAAAGAGAAAAAAAACATCAAAATAAGATGAGTCATCCGTGCGTCAACTGAAGAAAAGAAATATCAACTTTTTCTTGAAATAGAGTTAAATATATAGTATTTTTGAAGGACATAATTCCATTGTACAAATAAATTTATATTAATTTGCTTTTATAGAACACAAAAAAAAATGTCTGCATTATTAGCTGTTGTGTAAGTAATAGGAAAATAGATTCAATCAATCGAAAGACCTGTTTTATAAAAGAAAGAATTGTTACATTTCCCAAGCGTTTTCCTATAGTTATTGTTAGTGTCAGAATTAGATTGCAATGAATATTTCATCGATTGTAATACAGTCAATCGAAAAAAAAGCATCGTCAGAATATATTTTCTTTGATAATATAGAACATGTACTCAACCTCTTGTGTGTAGAACTAATGGGACTGAATATTTGTTTTATTTCTTACCAAAGCATTTTTTTACCCTCGAGTCATATTCATACATTTTTATGAATATATTTTAACACACACAAGAAAAAAAAA